AAGCTTGGAAATGGGATTACTGGATTCTAGTCCTCTGTTATGATCAAAGAGTCCCAGGTCTTAATCTGTTTGCTCATCTGTCATGTGCAGGATAAGAGTATCTGCTTTCTCGTCCCAAGAGTTACATGGATAAAAGAGTTATCCTGGGAGAGTCAGACATTATTATTATTATTTCAAATGTTTATTTATTTATTTATTTGAGAAAGAATATGTGAGTGGTGGAGAGGGGCAGAGGGAGATGGAGAGAGAAAGTCGAGCAGGCTCTGTGCTGAGCGTGGAGCCTGACACAGGGCTCGATCTCATGACCCTGAGATCATGTACCTGAGCCGAAACCAAGAGTCAGACGCTTGACCGACTGCACCACCCAGGGGGCCCAAATTGAACATTATTTTAGCAGACCTCCATCATAGGTAGGTATTGATCTCTGTTATTAATGTGAAATTTAAGAATTAATAACAAGACTGTTAATTTATTCTTTAAAAATGAAAAATCGTATAACCCTGAGGTATTCTAATAAGTCATGTGACTTGGAATGTCACCACTTTTGCCTTTGGGACCTATTTATAATTTCTTCAAGGACACATGAAGATAGCATGTTAAAGATTCATACATGTTGTTATTGGAAAGGCCCTTAAATATCATTTTGTCTCGAGTGTTTTGTTCGGCTGATGAAACGGAGACCCAGATGAGTATAAAAGACTTGGGTGAACTTGACAGTGTGTCAGGTGGCTGTGAACTCCCTATTCCAGGCTCCTCACCCTTTCCCCAGTTTCCCACTTGCTCCGGATTCTGCCCCCTGCCCCCTCGTGGGCAGGTGGGATGGGGCAGAGGGGGCATTGAGAAAAAAGCAGGGCTTTCAGACCTGTCTTCTGCAGCCTGTGTTTTTCCCCTAGTCTTGAACTCCAGCATGAAGTGACTTGAGTGTGGGATGCTGGTCAGGGATGGCGTTCAGGTTGAGCAGCTTCTACCAACGTGGGTGGCACTAGGTTGGCTCTCCCCAAGCTGCTGCCACTTTTCAGCCCCAGACCCAGTGACAGAGCTCACTCCGTCCTGCCGTCAGCCTGTTTACGGGTTGGCTCTTTGATGAAGAGATTGCAAAGGGCAGAAAAAACATAAAATCCCTCCTCGCTTTTTTCCCGAACACTCCTGAGAATGCTCCCTCAACAATTCTAGCGGAAAAAATGATTGTCTCCTTGCTTTCTGCTTCTCAGCAGGCACAACGGGTCACCAGATTGGACTCCTAGGACTTGGGATAGTATGGCGCTCTGTGGTTTAAATTTTTATCCCGCCCTCTCATTTTCCACCTTCAGCTTGGTTCCTGGCTCACATTCGGAAGACCTCAAAAAGTTATTGTGTTGGTAAGAGGGTGACCTGCTGCAGCAGAATTGCTGGGTCATAGTGTCTGCGTGATCCTTAGTCTGGTTCTCTCTGGTGACAGAAAGTCAAGGTGTCACTGTGTACACTCTGGTGAAGGGCTGAGGGGTGTTTCTTCTAGAGACTGTGGATAACCCAGAGTTTTTCAGTTTGGATAATTTCTCTTGATCTGCAAATATCATGGACTCTTTTCTCTGCCATCACCAACCCGTTCTTAAGCCCATTCAAGGATTTTGTGTGGCTGTTTCAGGTACTACATTTCTGTTCTGAAATTGCCACATTTCTTTCTTTCTTTTTTTTTTTTTTTTAATTTTTTTGACAGAGAGAAGGAGATCACAAGTAGACAGGCAGGCAGAGAGAGGGGGGGGAAGCAGGCTCCCCGCTGAGCAGAGAGCCCGACGTGGGACTCGATCCCAGGACCCTGAGATCATGTCCCGAGCTAAAGGCAGAGGCTTAACCCACTGAGCCACTCAGGCGCCCCTGAAATCGCCACATTTCAAATAAAAATGTTTTCACTTCCTCTGCTTAGCTGTAATTGCTGCTTTAATATCCTTGTCTGGTAATTCCCGTATTTGGATCATCTTGGAGTTGCCCTCTGCTAATGATCTTTTTCCTTGCAATGGATGTAGTTTCTCTAGTTCTTCATGTGATCTGGGTCTGTAGCCCGAACAGGAATGCATGTGGATGTTATGCTGGGGAGACCCTGATTTCTGGTGATGTTTTTGTTTTAGCAGACAGTTACGTCTGCAGGGTCTGTCTCCCCTGTGGGGAGGGAGGTGTGCGCTCAAACCTTAGTCCAGTGCTTCTGTCCTTGGCTGAGGTGCTGGGGTTCTGCCCTGCGTGTGCACGGTTCCAGGCTCAGCTAGAGGTTTGGATGGGGTTCACACAGAGCGCCTGGGACTTTGCTTCTCTGGCCCTCTTCTTTCTTATTTCCTCTTACCTGTGGCTGCTCTGGACTCTGTCTGTGGTTCCTCCAGAGAGAAAGCCTGGGGTTTGTTTTTTGATTAGCTCTGCCGCCGGTCAGCCCTCTGATGAAAGCTCCGAACCCAGGGAACTGTCCCATCCCAGCCCCTTCTCCCAGTTTTTGACTCCTCTCCTCGATCTGCCAGCCTTTGTTCACTTCACATAGTTTTTTACATTTTATCCAGAGTTTATCGTTGTTATCTGTTGGAGGATCATACTGGAGCCAGAATTATCTAATAGCATTTTTATCCATTATCAAAGTGTTTGGGGAACAAATGCGATACATATTTAAGAGACTTTCAGTCTGCAGCAGTCAGATAAGGGTGATTGGTCGCATTTTGTTCAGTGCAGCATATGAGCTCAGGTGAACTCAGCCGGTTTTTTTTTTTTTTTTTTTAAGGTTTTTATTTATTTATTTATTTATTTGACAGACAGAGATCACAAGTAGGCAGAGAGGCAGGCAGAGAGAGAGGAGGAAGCAGGCTCCCCGCTGAGCAGAGAGCCCCATGTGGGGCTCGATCCCAGGACACTGAGCTCATGACCTGAGCTGAAGGCAGAGGCTTAACCCACTGAGCCACCCAGGTGCCCAGCCGTATTCATTTTTACTTGCTTCGCAACTTTGGCCAAGTCTCTTCTCACTTAGAGAAGCGGGACTCACTTTCTCCTCTGGCACATGAGGCAGCTGGACTCCCCATGAACTGTAAGGGTCCCTTCATCTCTGCTTCTAGACAGACAAGACACAGACAGACACTACCCACACACACAGACTGCCACCACTGTCTTTAGCAAGAGTGAACGACAAGAAACAGCAGAAGGGGTACCAGAGGGAAGTGGTATGGGCGGGTCTCGCGTGGTGGGAAGAGCTCTGAATTTGTACCACCGCAGAGTCTGAGGAGTCTACAGTCATCGTCTTGTTCTGGGGACAGAAGGCCAGTACGCCAAGGATGCAAGAAATAAGTGACATTCAGAAGCAAAGGAAAGAACTTGTTTGCTGCTTGCTTTCATCCCTTAGAAATAAGGAGAGAATGTAGACAGTTGAAAATAAATCCATATCATCGGGAGTTCCTGTTTGTTTGATTCTGGGCAGTGCATTCTATCCTGTTTTGAAAGGAATAGCCCCCTGGGCCTTAGTAGCTTGCCGGGAAATGTGGCAGGAGGCGGTGGGGACAGCAGCTCTCAGCAGTGGTGCTGCTGTCATTGTTGGGCCGCGTGGAGACGAAGCAGATTGAAATAGCAATTATACATGGTGTACTTAGACTGACTTTTTAAAAAATGTGGGGGGAGGAGGCTAAAACTTATCCCACATCCACTCAGGCCATCCCTTGGGTGCTGACCCTGGTGTAGATCCTTTTTCCTGCTTTTCTATTTTTGTTGCGTGTCACTCATTCTTTTTTGTTATGGTCTTACTGGCTTGAGGCTTCAGGCTCTCATCTTTCTTTTAAAGATTTACTTTTTTATTTATTTGAGAGAGCGAGCATGTGGAAGGGTGGGGAGGGGCAGAGGGAGAGAAAGGATCAATGAGGAGCCTGATGGGGGACTCGATCTCACAACCCTGAGATTATGATCTAAGCCGAAACCAAGACTTGGATGCTCAATCGACTGAGCCACGCAGGTGGCCCCCTCATGTTTCTTTTAAAGCCATTTGAAAAAGCTATCACTCAGTTATCTATTTTCAGCCTTCTCACTCTCTAGGAGCACAGAGGCAGGGATGGATTCTTGCCGTGTGTTATGGGGTTGGTAGTGGAGGTGTGGGAGTCAGACTAAAGGAACCAGCAGCCTTGGAAAGAGGTCACAAGGTAGTCTGTGGGATGTGCAGACCTAGTTTGTGTTTAAGATCCAAGTATAAAAGCTTTACTTCCAGTGTAGAAGGTATCTTTCCTTTCTTTGGCAAGATAAGGACAGACAGAAGTTTGCCCCAGATCTTCTACCTCCAGAAATTCTTCTGAAACTTTAGGGGTAATACTCAGTGGGTTAATAGATCTTTCGGGTCTCTGGCAGTACGCTCGTTTTAAAACCAGAGGGTAATTTGCGGACAGAGAAGCTCTACTTGGTTCTAATTGATACTGGGTGGTTCAAGGGCCTCTTGAAGGACCACGTCTAGAAGGCAGCCCGACGAGAGTCAGCCTGGTGAAGGGGCTTTTTTGTCAGACAGGTGTCAGTTTAAATCCTGATGGCCATTTATTAGCAAGCTGTAAGACCTTGGACAAATCACTGACTTCTTGAAATTTAGATTCTTTCTTGGGGGGTGATATTATTGTATTATTGTCTTGTATAAAATATAAAACATATTGCTTAGGGTGTGGTAGGTACTCTACAGATGTTTGGGTTTTTTTCCTTACCCATCTTCTAGAACATCGTATTTTTAGTGGAATCCTGGCTTTAGCTCTAAGCAGTTGTGTGACTCACCCTTTCCAAATTTCAGTTTTTTTCCTTAAATTGAGGGTATTTAACTAGTTGATTTCTGAGATCCCTCCCAAGCTGTAAGATGTCATGAGTTTTAGACTTTTGGGGACTGTGGAGGCAGCCCACTTAAGTTACTTAAGAAAGTGCGGCCTGCCTTGAGACCATCTGAAAGGAAAAGGGAAATCACCCCTCCCTTCTGCTCGGTCTTGGTACAGTTCCCGCTTTACCGTTGTCTTGCTTTCTGTTTATATTCTGCCCAGGTCAAGAGGCAGCTGCCATTGAAAGATAGCGAGTGCCTGTTTCCAAGACAGCAAGCACCAGGGGAGCCACCAGAGGCATTAACAGAAAAGCTTAAATTACCTAAATGGTAAGTATATGGTACAGCGAAGCCTGGCCATCCCAATGGAATCGCATGGTGTCCGAAGTCTCCGTAATTCCTGCACTGCTGCAGGAGACGGAGGAAAGTTAATACTTGTTGATGAACTAAACACTGTGCTAAGTACTTAATTTTTTTTTTTTTTTTTTTTTTTTTTTTAGATTTTATTTGCTCATTTGAGGGAGAGAGAGCCCAAGTTGGGGGGAGGTGCAGAGGGAGAGGGACAAGCAGACTCTGTGCTGAGCAGGGAGCCTGACATGGGGCTCCATCCCAGGACCCTGAGATCATGACCTGAGCTGGAGGCAGACACTTTAGCTGACTCTGCCACCCAGACGGCCCCCTTCATGTGTTTTCTAATGTAATCAGCCAACCAGCCAAGCTACCCAAGGTAAAAAAATCCTTGCAGTTAGTCAACAACTTTCAGAAATAGGCCTGGCTAGCACTTTCTGAATACTTACTGTACGCCAGGCACAATCCTGTTTGACTTGCATTATCTACCTTAGTATCTACACTGATGCTACAGGTAAGAGCTTTTCTTTAAATTTCACACAGGGAGTGAAGGAGAGGACTGGATTTCACCCTGGGTTCTTCTCATTGTACTGGAATGTTTCTTTTTTGAGAAAGTTACTTTTTTTTGGTTGAGACAGTGACTGACTTAATCTTTAAAAAGCAAAGCAAAGGGCGCCTGGGTGGCTCAGTGGGTTAAAGCCTCTGCCTTCGGCTTAGGTCACGATCTCAGGGTCCTGGGATCCAGTCCCGCATCGTGCTCTCTGCTCGGCAGGGAGTTGCTTCCTCCCCGTTCTCTCTCTCTCTGCCTACTTGTGATCTCTCTCTGTCAAATAAATAAATAAAATCTTAAAAAAAAAATAAAAAGCAAAGCAAAATAAACAAACACCCCTTTTGGTTGACAGCTAGCTCCTTTTCCTGGCCCTTCTGGGTTCTGCACGCTAGTTATTTAATTGGTTATTTATTTATTTATTTTTATTTTATTGGTTTGTGCTGCCCAAGGTGGAGTGCAGTGTGGAAGTAGAAGGAGTTCCCACTTGCGTGGCCAAAGGAGGGGTCTAGGTCGTCAGTGGTAGCTGGAGAATGGCTAGAAGAAGGTTCTCTGGAAAGGGAAAGCCATGGGGAGGCCACAGACTGAGTCTGGGACCTGGTTCTAGACAGAGCAGTGACAGGACAGGATGTAGGAAAGGAATCTCAGCAAGACCTCTCACTCCCAGGGTGACCCCTCCCAGGAAAGGGGGTACATCACACATAGCTCAGGCTCTTATTAAGGGGGTGGGAAACTTTGAGGCAAACTCTTGTCCTGTTACTTGGCTCACGATTCTTGGCGTGCCTGGGTGGCTCGGTTAAGCAAGTGTCTGCCTTTGGCTCAGGTCATGATCTCTGGGTCCTGGGATTAAGTCCCGTGTCAGGCAACATGCTCAGTGGGGAGCCTGCTTCTCCCTCTCGCTCTGACTCTCCCCTCTGCTTGTGCTCTCTCCCAAATAAATAAATAAAAATGTTTAAAAAAATTGGTTCAGGCAGGATTCCTGTTCTATTCGTTTCCCTAGAGCATTTTTCCTACCTCAAGGGACTGGGTTAGGAAACTCATTCTGGTTGGGTGGTGTGGTGGCCGGCATTCATTGTTCGTTGATCTTTCTGATGGTATCCTAGTCTCTTTTTATTGGAGCATCAGTGTCTTGTGGTTTTGTTTGTACGTGTGTTTTTATGTTTCAAGTTTTTAGGTAGATTCTACTTTGTTAATATATAGTATAATATTAGTTTCAGGGGTAGAATTTAGTGATTCATCACTTACATACAACACCCAGTGCTCACCACAAGTGCCCTCCTTACTGCCCATCCCCCGCCCACCTCCCCTCCAGCAGCAGTTTGTTCTCTGTAGTTAAGAAGCACCAGTGGTGGGGGCGCCTGGGTGGCTCAGTGGGTTAAGCAGCTGTCTTCGACTCGGGTCATGATCTCAGGGTCCTGGGTTCGAGCCCCGCATCAGGCTCTCTGCTCAGCGGGGAGACTGCTTCCTTCTCTCTCTCTCTCTGCCTGCCACTCTGTCTACTTATGATCTCTCTCTGTCAAATAAATAAAATCTTAAAAAAAAAAAGCACCTGTGGTTTTTAATATACTTGCTGAATTTGACAAGGCAGGTAATCATTTTCTTTTACAAAACTTAATCCACCTTCCTATTGTTCATAGAGTACTTTGTTATGGCCTGGGCTTATGTTCTAGTGATACACAATGACCACTTACTCCATGCCTAGCACAATTCTTAGAGCTAAACAGCTCTAAACAAAACAATAATGTAGCACTAAACAAACCAGGAAAAGTCCTTGCTCTCAAGGATTCTATACTGAAGGGTAGAAACATGAAAAAAGAAAATAAATAACTAGATAGAAACAAACAGGTGAGTAGAGAAATAGTGTCCGCTAGGTGATATGTGCTCAGAAGGACAAAAGCGGGATAAGGTGGCCAAGGGATAAGGGAGCCTGGGGGCTGCTCCTTGACGCAAGGAGATCAGGGATGGCCTCTGATGAGGTGATAGTTTCAGCCAGGGTCTGAAAGAGGTGAGGGATCTAGCCAGGGCTATCTGGGAGAAAAGCATCCTAGGCAGAGGAACAGCAGGTTTAAGAGCCCCAAGGTATGAGTGTAACTTGGCCTTGACAAGGAGGCCTGTGTGGCTGGAGTGGATTGGGAGGGAAAGAGTAGTCGGAGGAAGAGCAGGGAAGCAGTGGGGCCCAGGTCAGGGAGACTCTCAGAGCCCAGGTAGGACCCCTGGAGCGTGTTTTATTCTAAGTGAGATGGGGGACGCACTGGAGGGTCAGAGCGAGGGGGTGAATGAGCTGACTTCTCTTTTGAAAGGCTTTGTCTGATGGCTGTGGGAGAATAGACTGGCGGGGCTGGGGTGGGGGCGTCGGAGGGAAGGGGAGGGCAAGGCAGGCGGTGTGAAGACAGACCGGTTAGGAAGGTCTTGCCCTGATCAGTACAGTCTAGGAGAGGGATGATGGCTTGGATTAGGGTCCTAGGGTGTATAGCCAGAAAGCAATGGATTCTGGACGTATTTTGAAGGTAGAGTCAAATTCTGATTCTCCCTGTCGAAATGTTTGATTTCTTTGGACTTAACCTTTAGGTCGCATGAGTTTGAGGGCATCAGCGGACACTTGACAGTAATCCCTGGTGAAATTCTAAAACTGACTGAGCAGAGGATGAGAACACAGTGTCCCCTAGAAGCCACTTGTGTTCCCTAAGTAAATCATGCTAACTGCTAACAGTTCGTTTTCTTTAAGTTCTGCCTTGTCTTTTTTTTTTTTTTTTTTTAAGGTTTTATTTATTTATTTGGGAGAGAGAGATTGAGAGAATGAGCTGGGGAGGGGCAGAGGGAGAAGCAGACGCCCCTCAGAGCAGGGAACCCAACATGGGACTTGATCCTAGGACACTGGGATCATTACCTGAGCTGAAGACAGTTGTTTAACCAACTGAGCCACCCTGACGCCCATGCTGTGCCTTGTTTTTATTTAAGCTATAGCATCAGTACAAGTTGTAGAAATATAGAAAATAAAGATAAATAATAGGAAAAAAACCAAACCATCCATAGATGATTACTACATATAACGTTTTGATGTATATCAGGACAATTCATTTTTGCAAGGAATCTAGGCTAGATGGTCCGGAATATGCTACGGAGATACTGTGGTGTTAGTACTACAGTTAGGTATTTAACACTTTCTCATGTGATCCCAAGACAGAAATTTGGGCTGGCTTACCTAGTAGGTATTATATAAGTATTAATAATGGATCAATGTTTACCAAGAGGGGCTGTTTTCAGTGGCGTTCTGGACAGCTGTTCTTCGTTACATTTTAACAGTTTGGACATAAGCATCAGATACAGAAAAGATATGCCTGTCATATTTGCAGTGAATATTTGCAAGCCGGAATGTGTAGAAGTATTTAGAGAATTGAAACTATTGATTGACGCTATCTTTCAAGTGGTTGAAATGTGAAAAATGGTTAATAAATTAAGCTATAACTGATATGGCACTTAAGATGGATGGGGTACTAGTCTAAGCACGTCATGTATTAACTCATTTGCACTTTCAGTAACCCTCAAAGGTAGGTATTGAAGCACAGAGAAGTCAAGTAACTTATCTGAGATCACACAGCTAGTAAGCGGCAAAATAAGAGTTTGAATTTAGGCTGTCTAGCTCCAGTGTCTGTAATCTTTAATCCTTGTACCATACTGCCTATAAAAGATATAAGAAATAAGTCCTATATTTAGGTTATTAAAATTAATTAGACTTAATAGCAGTTTATTTTTTTTTTAAAATTCAGCATAGGGGCACCTGGGTGGCTCAGTGGGTTAAAGCCTTTGCCTTTGGCTCGGGTCATGATCCCAGGGTACTGGGATCGAGCCCCGCATCAGGCTCTCTGCTCAGTGGGGAGCCTGCTTCTCTCTCTCCCTCTGCCTGCCCCTCTGCCTACTTGTGATCTCTGTCAAATAAATAAATAACATATTTAAAAAAAAATTCAGTATGAACCTACAAACTGGTAGTGTGGCTGCCAGATTAGCTCATGCAGTCTTAGGTTCATTATTAAAACTGGATTAACCAGGTCATCTTTCAAATCCTCCCCCACCCCTTTACTCCACTGGTACTGCCTTAGTTCAGGCCTTATTCTGTCTCTTGCCTTGACTATTACAATAGCTACCTAGTTTATCTTGTCAGACTGATCTTTCACAAATGCAGCTCTTTTTTGGTTTGTTTTGTTTTAGATTTATTTATTTATTAGAGAGAGAGAGAGAGAGTGAGCTCGTGGTGTGGGGAGGAGCAGGGGCAGAGGGAGAGAGAAACTGCATGGAGTCCAGTGTGGGGCTCCGTCTCATGACGGTGAGATCACGACCTGAGCCAAAACCAAGAGTTGGATGCTTAAGGGACCTCCCCCCAGGTTCCCCACAAATGCAGCTTTCATTGTTTGGCTCCCTTGCTGGAGTCCTTTTGTCC